TATAACAAGAAACAAATTGAACTAGGTTTATTGACAATTGCATCATGAAAATAAATGTTGTTTTAATAATTCAAAGAATTCTATGTAAGCGAAGAAAAAAAAACATTTTTCTCCGATTTAATGCTTTTAAAAAACATTCAAATTGAAATCGTTAACTTAGAAAACAAATATTGGATAAAAAAATCCTATAGAAAGCACTTATATATTGTTCATATATAAATTTAATTGATCGTATAAATTAACTTTAATTTGATTAATATTACCTGAAAATATGTGAAAAGAATTATATAATCAACAAAATATTGACAAATAATAACATTAGATTTTCTAGTCGTGTCTGATAAAAACATAATTATTTTGGTCTAAAGTAGATTTTTTAAATAGTTAATGATTATTGATGAACAAGTTCAAATTCTGATAGAGATTTGAGCTTGATAGAAAAAAATATGAGTTTATTTTTTATTGATATGATTGTTAATCATAACATAAAACTAATCTCTGAAATATTATAAAATTAATTTTATTAAAATAAAGGTGTTATTCACGAAGCGAAAATATATCTTTTCTACAAAAAAAATAAATAAATAAAAAATAAAAATTTATGGTGATGGTCTTTTTGGTTTGATTTTTTCTAAACGTTCTTCTAATTCATGAATTCTTTTATCTTTTGTTTTAATAATATGTTCACATCGTTTTAGTTTTCCTCTAAGAACATCAATTTCTTCATCTTTAGCTCTTAAAGCATCATCATGAAGATATGGATCAATATGTCGTCCACCTCCTCTATTAAAACTCCCATAATTAGGTAAAAGTCCCATTCGTCTTGGTGTACGTGGTGTCATTAATAATTGTGGTAAACGATAACGTTCAACATTAAATGAACGCCATGTTTCCCATTGTAAACGTGATTTTCTTCCTGTACGAATTAAATGTTCTTCAATTTTTTCACGTAAATGAAGAAGAAATAATTCAACAGCACGATTATCTCCATTTGTTATATCATGTACAACAGTACCAGGAGCATGTAAACTTAATTTTGGTAAAACATCAGAATTTAATATACGCCAATTTTTAGTACGTTGAGACATATTTCGTGCAATAATAAACATATCCAAATCAACATATTCAGGAAAAAAATAAGCTATAATTTCAGCTACTAATATTCCATCACCAAAATCTGCATCTAAATTACGTACTGAACGAGATAATGGAATTGTATCAAGCCATGCTAATATATCATAATAAGCTGTTGTTTGATAATGAGGTAGAAGTTTGTGTCCATTCATTGTTTCAAAACTTGCATCAGACATGTCAAATTAAACAAAACGTTTGTTTAATGAAATAGACGAACTATTAAATAAAGCAAAGTATAATTATTCTTCAATCAATTCAATTTTCATTTTATTTATTTTCTCTGTACAAAAAGTGACTATAAAATTTTTCCTCAAAAAACAAAAAAAATACTTACATCGTCTATAAGAACATTCTGAACACAGAAAGTTTCTTTTTTGAAAATCAAGAATGTTTATTGTTTAAGTCAAAAAAAATAAAAGAAAGTTTTTTCAATCAAGTAAAGGAAGAAAGGATTAATGGTAAATTATTTTTCTTTGTCAATAAATCAAATCTCACTTTTTTTTTGTGTATCTAACAAAGAATAAACAATAACACTCAATTAAATCTTATTAATATAACCTTTTTTTTTTCTTCTTAAAATTATCTTTTTAATACAAAAGATTTTTAAATTTCTTTCAAAACAAAAAAAAACAACAGAAGTTCCAATAGAAAATATGTCTATCTATATCAATATAAACGATTAATAAACTTCGACAAGGAAAAACAACCGTGTCTCACTGTATGTGGTTGATTTAAAAAAAAAAACAACAAAACGAATGATTTTTTCTTGTTCATTATTTTAAAAGTACTCTAGAAATTGTTAACTTACCATTGTTTGATTAATTCAACAACGTTGCACTTTATCACAATACATTGTCTTTTTTTTTTCAACAAAATAATGTGTCGGTCGTCGTTGTTTGTTATTTGATCAAATAGAAGCGATAGAAAAAAAGAAGTAACAATGACTTTTTTCTCCCGTGGCAACAATTCATATAAGAATAAATAATAAGAGAGAATATGCATGACAATACAAGAAATTTATACTCGATTTTGAATGAATATAAGTAAAAACATTTGATTCAATACGTTTTTTTTTTCTTGAAAATCCGTTCGTATTTTATATTTCTCGTACATAACAAAAAGAGAAGATCAAAATGATATTCTTTTACTGTACAATGTCAATGTTAAATGTATCAATTCTTAAAAGAAATTTTGTTTCCTAGAGTGTCACTCTCGATCTCTGTTTAAATACTAAGATGTTTTGTGAAAAAATATTTAGAAAAAACATTAAATCGATCAATAATCAAAATAAAAACTTCTATTTCTATTAATCAATATATTCAATAGAGTAGGGTGGGGTAAAAAGGCACACGATTTTGAAATTTTGACTTTCGAAGCTTATATCTCTTTTAATTTTGAAGATACAAAAAAACTTGCGGTACAAACATTGTAGAAAAAACATTTTTCTATCGATCTGTGTTTTTCGTTTTCAAAAACCTCATCGGGTTACGTTTCCATGCTAGTTTTCGTGCGACCTACTCGTCATGGTGCCGTATTACCCCATTTGGGGTAAAATTGCACTTAATGTATATGTGCGGGGTAATTAGGCACTTCTTACAAATTTCAATGTATTTTTGTATTACGACTAAAATCTAATTTTTGAAGTCTTTTTTTGACGGATTTTGTTCGGACTTGTGTCATTCGATAATCTGTGTGAAGCTACCACAACACGATCATTGAGCACGATCAATAGAATATTATGACACGTCAAAATGAAAACCAATCAGAAAGCTATAAATAAAAAAATACCATTATGAAGGAGAAACTCATGGACATGGTACTCCATAGTAACCGTAGCATATATATCACTGCTATATATACGGATATTGTATTATTGGAAACATGAGAAAAAGTGTATTATTTTTTCTACGAAATTATTTTTGTGCATAATTTCTAAAGTTCTTCGTATCCTCAAAAAAAGCACGCATCTTTCAATTTTCTACTAAAAATATTGAATATTTTGTTGGAAAAAGAAATGAAAATGAGCAACTCCACAGAAACAATAGACTAGTTTTAAAGATAGGACTTTTCTTTAATAAAGAAGATATTATTATTGATGATTAAAAATAATTGATTGTATCAGTTTTCAAAAAAAAACTGATTATTATTAACTTGAACTTTATTTAATTTATATTATTATAGTAACTTGGCTAAGAACTATAGATTAATATCTACTGTTAATCTGTTAGAACACTAGGATTTAAAACCGAAATAAAAATAAAAAAAATAACTAACTAGGGAACCTTCCAAGGTGCGGGAGCGCTTTTCAATCGGGGTTTCGTGCATCTTGTAGCCCGTAGTGAGTTATGCTTACGGTAAAAAAAAGTTCGGGTTTCTGGCTTGTTTCTGAGGCGCTAGAGCATTTTCATTATCATAATTATAAGGGTTATTTTATCA